ACAAAAAAGTTTATGAATGAAATATAATTATTTTGTCATACATTCATGAACATTCAGTATCAGGATTATTCTTTACAGTGCCTTAGTTGAACTGCAATTCTTTATAGATTGATATGCAAGACATTCAGACTTATTGTAATGGAATCTGTCAATAATTTTGCTGATGAACAATTGGTCAAAAGAATATTTATATATATATATATATATATATATATATATTATATATATATATATATATATATATATATATATATATATATATATATATATATATATGGATAACATGATCCAAGCTTAAAATATGTTATATATTAAGAAAACTGCCTCTCAAAACAATATTTAAGAACAAGAGAGAAAAGAAAAACAGGTGATCAATGTTCTGCTCACTTCTTTATCTTATAAATACATATACAGGTTATTATACACATTGTATACAATCTCTTCATCTGTTGTGAGATACTCTTCCACTTGTAATAATTCATCTACAACAGAAAAAAGGAGGTTTTCCAGTCACTGAAATAATTATTTGAAGTGTGGAACAAGGCTGATATAACACACCAAAAATGGAATACATATACACTCATACTTCGGTATTACTGGCATGGTTACAGAACAACTTCACAGCTGTCAGACTGATGCAAGATAATATGCTTTACCTCCTTCTTCTGGCAGGAAAACGTTAAACTATATGCATAATACCCAAATCTACCTCTGTAGTGGCTGCATTGGGGTCCTAAGAAAAATTTACACTGTCTTACCGAAGCACAAAGACTTAAAGCTGAAGATCACAGTTGAAATCTACTGTTACTTATAGAATTTCTAAATCACAGTGACGAATCTCAGGATGAGCTTTCTGTTGAGGAAAAAAAGTTTAGAGTTTTAACACAAGAGAAAAAAACAGCTACATATCAATTACAACAAATTGTCTGTTGATTGCATGTGGTATATCTGAACAAATTTCAAATGAATTGAAAAATACAACACATAGAGGGAGGAAAGTAGATGTAAATGGAGGTAGAAAAGGAAGAACACAAAGATGTGAAAGAGGAAGATGGCAAGACAGAGTAGACCTAGAAGTGAAAAGAGATCAAGAAGAATGAAAAGTTCATGAAGAAAAAATAAAAAGTAATGCAAACTTCCAAAGAACTTTACCTTAAGAGTTTTTTCTATCCTATCAACTTCCGCTCCCAGACTGTCCACAATGTTTTCACCGTGCTTTAACATGAAGGCTTCCACCTCGTCCACTGTCTTTATGGCCTGTATTTCCTGAAAGAACAAGAGAGAAAAACATTTTTGTGACTGTCTTCTCCCACACATACCAGTAAATTATGACAATCTATAACTATAAAAAGAGAGAAAGTAAAATCAACTAAATTTCAGGATCGCCAAGAAGCATGTCTGTTGTTTTCGATCTTTCAAACTCTCATCCAAAAACAATTATCCTTTAACTCTAATCTACCTAATTTATCATCCAACCCAAAATTCTTTATCCACAGCCCATCGAAGCCCTCGACTATCATTCTAGCCCTCTCACCTACCTTCATGATTGCATCTAAGTCCTGCTTGTCAAGGTAGCCCCGCGTGAGTTCCCTGCCATCGAAGTCTACCTCAGCCTTGTAACGCACCAACCCCGTCCCCATGTCAATGCCCTTGACGTCATAGATGGCCCGGATCAGCACATCGCGCTCCAGCTCATCGTTGATCTTCTCCAGCCGGTACTGGGGGATGGATCTGCAAAATGAGAATCAAGGCTATTGATTAGTTCTGCTTCTTTTGCTTTGTGTTCTGGGGGCACTTTCTAAGCCTTGGATGCATTATATGCTGCAATAAATCCTGTAAGACATATACTGCATAAACTCTATTAGAAATGAAGACTTTCCAAAAGAAAAAACTACTTAAACAAATATATTTCTTAATGAGATGAATGAAAAAATATAAAGGAAATGAACTAAGGAACCACAGAGTACAGAGAACCAGAACTCTGACGGATTTCTTGACTTACTTCCCAACCAACGCAGCTGAATTGGTGTAGATTATGAATCCCGAAACCCCGGCCAAGATGCCCCCAATGAGGCATGACCCAATGGCATCGGGGATGTGTGAGCCAGTGATTGAGGTGAGGCCCATGCATGCCATTGCTACGGAGACCCCAATTACGGCCGCCATGTCCTCCAAAAGGACCACGTTTACACTTGGGTCTTGGCTGCGTAAGACTTAAGTGGGGGGGAGGGAAAGGATTAGAAATAATATGGCAAAGACAAAAAATATATACATACATAAGAGAAAGACAAAATAAAAAGTTCTGAGGTTAATATATATATAAATAAAAAAAGGTTTTGTGTACTATTTTTTCTGTCAAGTCAATCCACTGTAACTAGTAACTTCGGAAAAAAATACTGAATGAACTCTAAATAATTTCAAATCTATAAGAACTGACTTACCATACTCGGTAAAGGACATCTGCTGTTGCTGAGCCCCCTTCCTGATGGCATGAGCTGCCATGAGAAGTGTTCCTCCTTCTGTAATAAGGGAGCCTCCCAGGATGTAGAAAGCCCAGTAAAGGGGTACCACCTGTAAAATGTTATAAATGAATAATACATAAAGAAGGAGAAGAAATAATTGATCAAAATACTGAATCAGGAAGTCAGAAGCATCATGAACCTGACACAACCAGACACATATCACAATAATAAACAAGAATTACATCAATTGCACCAACCATTCCAAACAAACACACAAAGAAACACAAACAAAGCTATATGTACCTCAGAGGGAGCCATGAGTCCAGATATGCCATGCTGGAAGGAGAGGCCGGCCCCAACACAGAAGATCATCGCACCAGAGATCAATGAAGACACATACCTCATGGTTGTGTAGCCATAGGGGTGTATTACGTCAGCCCGCTAATATAGGGAATGGATATTTGTTGAGATTTATTACATTGGAGAACAACGTATGATCTAACAATATAAGTTTATTCTTCGAGAGATCTATATACAATTTCTACACAGGCACACTGTAAGTTTTTATGAAAAATAGGAATAGAAGCTAACAGTTTAGCTTAATTCTGTGGAAAGAAAAAGGACTCATATCATCATTTTATTCACACTTCATGTATAACAAACTGTTTAACACAGGACTTTAGCTTTTGTTTGTTAATTAATAATGTTTACAAATCATTTCTAAAAAATAAACAAAAAATAGTAAACATGGGTAATTTAAAAAGGACATAATATACTGTCTACTCTATCCCAGCCCCTAAATCAGGATATGATGTTTACAAATCCATACATAAAACTGTCAGTCAAGCTAACTAATGTGATGAAATTCATATACCATCTTAAAACCTAGAAAATAAAATGTCCACTTTGTTCATATTAGCCAATCAATGAAAAATGATTTTGAGTAAATTAGATCATTCCTTAGCTTAGCAGAGAGATATCTATTCCTAGCCTAATATCTATATTAGTGTGCCAGTCTGATTCTCAAAATGTGTAACATATGCTTCTTGTATATTCAGCAACTCAAAATTCTATGAATACATAGCAAGGTATCTTTACTCAAAAACAAGAAAATATTACTTTAGTATTGTCTCTATAAGGCCCTACTACACAATGTTGCATCAAGAAACCAACAAAAACTCTCACTTCCGAGACAAAGTTGAAATTCAGAAGTATCACATCAAAAAAGTACGTCTCTATAGTTACACATTATATATCGTTCATTATATGAAACCAACTCCCTTCTCACACATAAAAAACATCCCTTCCTCACCTGCTTGGACTTGTGAATGCCATAAGCGAGAATCAGCTGGTTGGTGACGTCAGCCAGAGAGTGCAAGGCTTCGGCAAAAAGACTGTGGGACCCTGTGAAGGCCCAGGCACCAAGCTTCATCACAAGGTTAGCTCCATTTCTATGAAAATAAAAAGGCGGTGTTGGGTCTGTGAACATGACGAGGAAAGGGAGAGAGAAAGGGAGAGGGAATGGGAGTGAGAACGTGAAAGGTCCAAGACTACTTGGATTTAGAGACATGGGTTGCAAGGAATGAAAAGATAGAACATATGGAAAAAAAAAGATAGAGAAAGAAAAGAAAGAAAAAAGGAGAAAATAAGACAGAATCCCAAAAAAAAATATATATATATATATATCCTTACATGGCAACTGCTGTCCACACCACATTGCCCGAAATATCCTTGCCGTTGCCCCCAGGCGTGAGGGGTTCGGGGATGCTCCTCTGGTCACGCCGGTACTCTTTCATGATCCTCTTCACATTGAAGATGTCTATGGGGCGAGAGAGAGGAAGAGAGGGTTTTTGCATGAGCCACAGGTCTTCTTTTCATTCTTTTTTTTTTGCTTGAGGGATGACCGATTTGCAGAAAAGTTGAAAAGCGAATTCTTTTGTTCCCCTTGTTATTTTTTAATGGGGGGGGGTGGGTGGGTTATCTCCTTACCTGAAACTTTTTACTTCTTTTCCCTTAACTTTTTTTCTGTTTCTAAAATAATCAGAATTAAAAGCCAATAAGGGGAATAAAATTGATCTATATTAATAGCAATTTTTAGAAATTTTTACAAAATCAAATCAAATAATGGAGAGAACATGATGAAGGCAAAGAATAAAAACGCATAAAAAATATAGCATCAAATACAGAAAACTAAAAACTGGTTATAAAATTCTTCTCACCCGATTGATGTCATTGTGATATGAATTACTTAAACAAGGTTCATATATTCCATATAAATGACAACTTGCAGTATTCATTGTGCAACAACCATTTTATAACCAGCCTCAATTCTACCTTTCTACAAATGCACCACAAGGAAGGAAGGAAGGAAGGAAGGAAGGAAGGAAGGAAGGAAGGAAGAAGGAAGGAGGGGGAGAGGAGAAGAGAGAGGGAGGGAGAGAGGAGGAGAGAGGAGAGAGAAGAGAGAGGGAGAGGAGGAGGAGAGAGGAGGAGGAGAGAGAAGGAGAGAGAGAGGAGGAGGAGAGAGAAGGAGAGAGAGAGAGAGGAGAGAGAGAGAGAGAGAGAGAGGAGAGAGAGAGGAGAGAGAGAGAGAGAGAGAGAGAGAGAGAGAGAGAGAGAGAGAGAGAGAGAGAGAGAGAGAGAGAGAGAGAGAGAGAGAGAGAGAGAGAGAGAGAGAGAGAGAGAGAATGAATCAGTTGAATCTAGCATAAAATCTGTAAGGAGATTAGAGATATATTAGGCCACAGTAATTTCATTCCTTGGTTTATGGATTTTATTTCTGAAAACCTCTGACACGAAGCCGCAAAATAAAAATAAAAATAATTGGGAGTTTCTTAATTTCTGGGAACATGTTACAAGCAGAAATAAATAACGAAATATCGGTGACAAAACTACACGTCTGGAAATGGCATTGTTCACATGCCCACAGACAGGAATCATCTCCAGTGACCTATTGTGCTTGAGACAAACAGCAGATACCATAAATTGTGGAGGTTTCTATACGTTTATCTGACTAAAAAAACAGAAAAGCGGAATCAAATTGTATTGGTTCAGGTACGGCTGAAAAAAAAAAAAAAAATTGATTTCTAAATTATTTTTATTTTCGATAATCGTGATAAATAAGGGTAGCAGATCCATAAACAAAGAAATAAACTAATTGTCGCCTTACTATAAAAAAAAAGGAGCAAAACAGCCATATTCAATCTGAAGCATGCAAATGACAGAAGCAATAAATTACTCACATACTGGAAAAAATGATCACCATATAATAATAATAATAATAATCAAAAAGTGCTTACCAAAATGATCAAGAATCACATTGCAATCTGTCTGTGTGTGTGAATGAGTGAGCAAAGAGCAGTTAAGTATGAGAGAGAGAGAGAGAGAGAGAGAGAGAGAGAGAGAGAGAGAGAGAGAGAGAGAGAGAGAGAGTGAGAGTGAGAGTGAGAGAGAGTGAGAGTGAGAGTGAGAGTGAGAGTGAGTGTGAGTGTGAGTGTGAGTGTGAGTGTGAGTGTGTGGTGTGTGTGTGTGTGTGTGTGTGTTGTGTGTGTGTGTGTGTGTGTGTGTGTGTGTGTGTGTGTGTGTGTGTGTGTGTGTGTGTGTGTGTGTGTGTGTGTGTGTGTGTGTGTGTATGTGTGTGTGAGAGAGTGAGTGAGTGAGAGGTAAGGCAGAAAAAAATGAGTGACGCTCTATCTTGTGACAAGGTATCACATTTTCTCTAGCATATATATCCAAACTGAAGATTTTGGCAAAGTCCATATTCAAAAACTCTAATAGTACATAATATTGCTCCTGGTCCTTCTCAAGTTTTACGTCTCATATGCCAAGTTAAGTCACTTATTATCATCTATCCTTTCACAGTTCAAAATTCTTCTTTCTATTGTTCCTACCAAATTTTCCTTAAGTGTAACTCATTAAGCCTTCACTCAATTATGATATCATATGCACATGGACTAAAGGAGGGAGCACAGCTCAGTAGATGAACACTGGCTGTGAAACTGCAAGATCCCATGTTTGCTTCCAGCCAGCCCATTTCAGGCGAGTCAACTGACTAAGTATGTATTCCCATCCCTATGCTGATGTCAAAGTCAGACCAGAAAAGAACAATTCATACTACAGTGTCATCCTACAGCTTTGTACACATTTTCCTCAACAGAAATGTTCCCTACGACTTCTTGGATGAGATCAACTTTGCCTTTGATGGGTTGTATAAATACAATATGCATAACATAGCAACCTATAGTTTGCTCTGGCATATTATCACTGTAAATGTCTATGATGTTAGTATATGTCTAAATATATGAAACCAAAATCAGGTGCAAGATAAGCAAACAATTACTCAAAGTAACTAATTACTTAAAGCAGTTACTGAAAATATTTGTCAACACACTTCTGAAGTGCTAAGCAAAGGGGCACTCTCTCTTTGGCTTGCCTTAGAAACTGCAGAACCAAAGCATTAGCAAATGAGCCACCTGAGTAATCCCAATTGGAAGGTTCATTAGCATAAACCATTTGCATCTACATTCAACTGCTCAGTGTGCAAATGCATCAGGCCTTACTGCCAAATACAAGCGGCACCCTCTGAGCACCAAAGACACATAAAAGAATCCATCTATCTTTTCCATTTGAAAAAATTTGGGACTGATAACAATTTAGGAAAAATGAGGGAAAACTTCCCAGTGAAAGAGAGACCACCCCCTGTCAAGATTTACGTCTCAAGAAATCAAAAGATCTTAAGTACCTCGATTCTTTATCTTCTTCAAGGTTTTCCTTATAATGTAAACCTTCTTCATAGCTTTTTTCACATTAAATACATCCACTGAGCCAAACAACAAAAGGAAAGAAAATATTATAGACATTAGTGGAATGATAACTATGTACCCCTGAAGAAGGTAAGTACATTTATGCAACAAATTATTGATGAAGTACTTACTAATAAATGTAAACCATTTTTTGTACATATACATATTCTATAAATCTCCAATCAACTATTGAATTACTTAAATCATTCCATAACATTAAGAACATTTTTAGATAA